TTCTTGTTGTTGTTGAAGTTGAAGTTTATTTTTCTTTTCTCTCACAAAATCGTTTGCAAAGGGAAGGGCGCGCTGGGGCAAGAAACACAAATGGCCCTTTCAGTATTCCATCATACTGTGGGTCATGAATCGCCGCGCTGGCAAATAATTTATGTTTCGATAGTTGAAAGATTTTCGTTGCGAGCTGAATAATTTATATTCAGTGTAAAGTCATGGGAAAGTCAAAAGGATAATGGGATAGGTCAGACCAACAAAAGAGCGAAAAGCGAGAATTTTAGGGAACGGATTTTCAAAAAAAAAGTGCATTATTTAATAATGTTATTAAAGGATTTTGTATAAATATTTTACGGAATTTTTAAAACTATTTCTCAAGGACCCTCAGCGTCTTCAAAGTGGATTTTTAAGAATATTTGAAAAAAAATTAAGAATATTTTTCCAAGGATAATCAGTCCAACAAACGTGATTCTTTTAAATATTTTTCTAAGGATAATCAGTCCAACAAACGTGGACTTCTGAAAAAATAAGTTTCAAAAATGATCAGTTCTACAGACATATATATTTTAAAAATATTTTTCCGCCCAACAAAGGAGGATTTTTTAAAAGCAAGAACAGTCAGTCCAACAACGTGGATTTTCTAAAAAAAGTGGATTTTTTAAAAATATTTTTTAAGGATAATCAGTCCAACAAACGTGGATTTTTTTAAATATTTTTTAAGGATAATCTGTCCAACAAATGTGTATTTTTTTAAATATTTTTTAAGGATAATCAGTCCAACAAACATGGATTTTTTAAAAAATTTTTTTCAAGGATAACCATTGCAAAAAACGTGAATTCTTTAGGAATATTTATGCAAGGATAAACAGTCCAATAGACATGGATTTTTCAAAAATATTTTTAAGTCCAACAAACGTGGATTTTTTAAGAATATTTTTGCAAGGATAAACAGTCCAGTAGACATGGATTTTTCAAAAATATTTTTCAGTCCAACAAACGTGGATTTTTTAAGAATATTTTTGCAAGAATAAACAGTCCAATAGACATGGGTTTTTCAAAAATATTTTTCAGCCCAACAAACGTGGATTTTTGAAGGAAAATCAGGAACCCAGAGAGTCTTAATCGAGAATTTTTTCATTATTTTTAAATTATATATTTTTCAAGGACCATTCAAGCTACAAACCTAGGATTGTATGGCGGCTAAACAGTTACTTTTTATACCTTCAGACATATGGCTGATATGGCACAACTTGTCTCATCGAAATAACGATTTTAGACTATTGGTCTCTTTGGACCAAATCCGTTTCAGGACATTTGTGGGTTCGCGCAACAATCCTCAAATGGAGTATCCGATATGGTCCAAACTAGTTACATCGTAATATTATTATGAAACTTAGATCGAGTTCTAAGATAGGCAGCATCATTCCAAACCTTCTGGTACCTCCCCCACAAAACGTTAAAGTTTTCACAGAAAATAAATTGCCGTATAGAACGAGAAAGGATCATCCCATTTTCTGCAAACTTTGCAAATCCCATGATTGGTATCAGTGCTAGGTGAGATGCGAAAATGGACAACATCGGCCCACTCCCAACAAAGGGTCAAAATTTTGAATAATTGTAAGTCTTATAAAATACGAGTATGAAGTAAGGACCCGATTGCCTTCAAGTATCACACATGTTCTCTTAAATTTTTATACGTTCCAATATTCTAACAAAAGATCTGGTGTGAAGACGGTAGATAGAGGCCCACTCCTTAAGTCATCTCCCCACAATGGGTCAAAATTTTGAATAACCAACATGCTCATAATATGCTTAAAATCATCTAATAAACGGACATTGACTGTGGGTATAAATCTGTCGGCAAAACCGACTAATACTTCTTAACATGTTTAAATATTTGTCAAGAACCATCTGGGTCGCAAAACGAGCAACAAATGTGTATTTTACAATTTTTTTCACTAACAACTTGTGCTAAGATACTTAGTTTCAATTATTGCATTATACCAGACACGAAGTCATTTGTACCAGAAGTTTGTATTGATTACAGTTTTTGCAAAACTTTTCTTCATCCATATTTAATGCGGCTAAATTGAAGATAGTTTTTGCTTCGGACTCAAACATTTCACTACACAAAACAAATAGAATAACATTTAGGACACAACGAAATTTAGGTTAATGGATATTAGCCCTTAAGTTATAGAATTTTTTTTTCTTGGTAAAAAAAAAAACTGCAAGTAGGAGATACAAAAAATTAAATTATAAATTTATTTGAAGATTCCTATACATTTTCAGATGTAATTCGAAATATTTTACTTGCAATTCGTCACTATTCATTTGTAATTCTTAAAATTTCAATTGAAATTCAAGAATTCCATTTGTAATTCGAAATTATTCAATTTTAATTTGAGAGAGTGTCATTTGTAATACGTAAAACTCGATTTAAAATTCGAAATATTTCATTTGTAATTCAATTTTTTTTCGAATTATTGTCATTGAATTTCGAATTATTTCACTAGTGATTCGAACGATTTTTTTTTTGTAATTCGAAAAAGCAATGGGAAGCCAATACAAAAGATCTTTTCGATTTTTTTTTAATTTTATTTGGAGTAATTCAAATTTCAAATGAAATAATTCGAATAAGATATGGAAAATTTTAAAATACAGATTAAATAATTCGAAAATAAAAAATGTTTTTTGTTGTTGCTAAATGGTTAGGCTTTATCCCTTTATTTTTGTTTTTATAAAAACAACGATGGAAAAGAGCCACCTATCCTCATCAGTTCTTTTTTGTGTTTCTTGTTGGGTTTTTTTTTTTGTGTTTCGAGTAATTCGAATTTCAAATTAAATAATTCGAATTAGAAATGAAACAAGTAAAAAAGCCGGCAGGGCCGAACTTTGAATACCCTGCACCATTTTCAACGAATTTGGCAATTTTCAAAAAATAAAATCCGTTAAAAATTCTGTTTAAATCTTAAGCGTACCGAATGTAGCCGTTATATTAGGGTCTATACGACGACGTGGACCTGCATAGGCAACGTTTGTCATAACACACTACAATATTCAAATGCGAAACTTAAAAAAAAAATCGGTGAATAATGTCGGTAAAATCATCAAAGTACCGCATATCGGGAGGTACCGTTATATGGGGGCTATACGAAAACGTGAACCTGCACAGACAATTTTTCGTCTTAGGCTGTAGTATCCATGACGAACTTCAAATACCATAAGGATAATCAGTCTATCAAACGTGAATTTTTTAAGTATATTTTCGGAAGGATAATCAGTTCATCAAACGTGTATTTTTAGAAATATTTTTCCAAGAATAATCAGTCCAACAAACGGGGATTTTTAGAAATACTTTTCCAAGGATAATTAGTCCGACAAACATGGATTTTTTAAGGATATTTTTCCAAGGATAATTAGTCCGACAAACATGGATTTTTTAAGGATATTTTTCCAAGGATAATTCGTCCGACAAACATGGATTTTTTAAGAATATTTTTCCAAGGATAATCAGTTTGGATTTTTTTTTAAAAATTGTTTTCCAAAGATAATCAGTTTGAATTTTTTTTAAAAAATATTTTTCCAAAGATAATCAGTTTGTATTTTTTAATATTTTTCTAAGGATAATCCATCCAACAAACGTAGACTTTTTAAAAATATTTTTCCAAGGATATCCAATCCAACAAACGTAGACTTTTTAAAAATATTTTTCCAAGGATAATCAGTCCAACAAACGTGGATTTTTGAGAATATTTTTCATAAGGATAATCAGTCCCAAGAACTCGGAATTTTTTAGGAATATTTTCGCAAGAATAAACATTTCAATAGGCATGGATTTTTTTAAACTTTTTTCAGTCTAACAAACGTGAATTTTTTAAGGAAATTCAGGGACCCACAGAGCTTTAACCAAGAATTTTTTCATTATTTTTAAATTATATATTTATCAAGGACCATCCGAGCAACGAACCTAGGATTGTTTAGGCAGCTGAACGGTTATATTTTATACCATCAGACTAAATATCATGTGATATGACAAAAACGTGTCTCATCGAGATAATGGTTTTAGAATATAGGTCTCTTTGGACAATACCGTTTCAGGACATTTGAGTCGTCTCTGTGTCTGTCTGGCTGGCTGGTACGCACAACAACTCTCAAAGGGAGTATCCGATTTGGTCCAAACTAGGTACATTGTAAAATTATTATGAAACTTAGATCAAGTTCTGAGATAGGCAAGATCATTCCAAACCTTCTGGTACCTCCCCAATTTTTCGTCTTAGGCTGTAGTATCTATGACGAACTTCAAATACCAAATTTGAAACAATTCCGGTCAATAATGTCGCTAAAATCATTAAAATACCGAATATCGAAAGGTACCTTTATATGAGGTCTATACGAAGACGTGAACCTGCACAGACAATTTTTCATCTTAGGCTGTAGTATCCATTACTTAATTCAAATGCCAAATTTGAAACATTTTCGGTGAATAATTCCACTTAAATCACCAAAATACGGAAAATAGGGAGGTACCATTATATGGGGGCTATACCAAAACGTGGACCTACATGACCCATTTTCAATACCAAAAGTCTTGCAGACATAATATACATTTGAGTAAAGTTTTATCAACTTTATTTATTTGGTTCTTCATTTGGTTCGGACGGACATCGCTAAATCGACATAGAATTGAATGACACTGTGGTGGAGGGTATAAACAAATAGAATTAGAAATTAAATAATTATTACGAATAACAAATGGAAGTCTCGAATTATAATTAACCCTTTACGGATTAGAAAAAGGATATCTCGAATTTCAAATAAAATGTTGTGACAAAGATGTAGTGCTAGAATCGGTTTTTAAGGTCCAACAATTACAATTTTTTAAACATATATTTCTGTGTGCGTATGTCTATTTATAGCTTATTCCTGTTCTATATCAACAGAACTTTCCATTGCACTTTCCATTTATTTCAAACCTAAATTGTTTCAACCATTGTCACAATTGCTCATTTCTTTTGAGCAATATTCCCCAAGAACTGAATTATTACTATGATCTCATTTCGATCATAGAGATTCAAGGTTGCATTGAAATTCACTGTGGGCAGATATGTAGGAATTAAAGCTTCACTTAATGAGAAGTTTTTCACTTGATATAGGACATCCTGAAATGGAAAAGAAACAAATTAATGTATATCAAAATCGACCATTTGACAAAGTCTTACCTTCTTGTAGGGACATTGCTTCGGCAGATTTGTAACCCTCTTCAATTCAATCATCAATGGTCTGATCAGTTGATTTTCCAGCGATCGTTGCAAAAACACACAACAATTGAATCTTACATTAATTAAATGGATTATTTGTCGCGAATTTGTCGGCATTAGATCTATGGCAAAGTGAGCCTTGAAACTTCGATCCAAATCACGGGTGAATAGCAATTGAAGGCTAATGACATAATTATTGATACGATGTTTCGTGAAATCGCAACCCAACCGCTTTACAAGTTCTTCGTTGTATGTACGACAGGTGACATTCTTCATCTTGTATACAAAATCATGACCTTCGATACTCTATAATTATTAATTTTTTATTAAGGGGCTTTTTCTTCCAAGAAAATCAAACACTTACTTGAATACTTATAAGAACGCAGAGCGCAGCTATAGGTGCAAACATTTTGCAAATAATAACAAACAAAGAATCATTATTTACTAACTCGATTCGAGTGCGAAATCTAAATTTTTACTAATTTTAAAACAATTAAAAAACAATATTCATATTGCACCGCCGACCTGCAAACTTGGCCATGCGGAGATCATTACCGAATTTAAAAACAGAGTGGGAGTGAAACTCATGTTCTAAACCCCTTTAGAAAACGTAATCCAGGTTATGTTTGAAGAAATTTCTTCTTCGCAAGTTATGACAGATAAAAGTATTGAAAATTGTGACCCATTGTGGATGAGGTACCAGAAGGGGCTAGCAGATATATATAAAATCTTCACAACAGATCTTGTGTTAGCAAAAAGGTTTGTATGTGTAAAATTTGAAGGGAGTTGGGAGCTTATTTCGCTTTCTTTGAGCATTCTGTTTTTCAAACTCTTGAACCCTATGTCGGGGAAGTACCAGAAGAAATGGTTCGATTTCTACCATCCTTATAACAGACCTTGTATTGATGGAAATATTGAAATATACCAAATCTGAATGGAATATGATGTTAATTTCGCGTTTTTTGAACTTAATGGATATTCAAAAAGTTGACCCCTTGTAGGGGAGGTACCAAAAGGAGTGGACCGTTATATCTTATCTTCGCATCAGATCTAGTGTTAGTAGAAATAATGGGATGTGCAAAATATGAAGAGAAACGGATGCTTATTTCGGATTTAATGATCGTTTGCGTTATTTTAAACTTTGACCCTTTGTGAGGTAGGTACCAGAAGGAATAGTCCGATCACTACCATGTTTATAACAGCTCTTGTGTTGATGGAAATATTGAGATGTAACAAGTCTGAATGGAATCGCACGTTAATTTAGCATTTTATGAGCTTCATGGATATTCAAAATGTTCACCCTTTATGGGAGAGGTACCTGAAGGAGTGGACCGATATAGTCCATCTTCATACCAGACCATGGGTTAATAGAAATATTGTAATAAGTGTAATTTGAAGACAATCGGACTCTTACATCACATTTTATAAGAGTTATAATTATTCAAAAAATTGACCCTTTGTGGAGGAAGTACTTGATGGAGTGGACCGATATTGTCCATTTTCGCACCTTGCGAAGTTGGAGCCAAATCGAATTATCCTTTATCTTTCTGGATACCAAGTTTGGATCAAATCGGATACTCCCTTCGAGAGTTGTCGTGCGGACGGACGGACATCGCTGAGTCGACTCCAAATGTCTTGGATTTGACCAAAAGAGACCCAGGGTCTAAACCGTTATTTTGATGCACGTTTTGACCGCATCAAATGCCCCATGAGTCTTTGCTGCTGGCCAGAACAATGGAATCGGCCTGTATGCCTCCCCTCACTGGGCTCAGTTGGGGAACCACTTGAATTATTTTCTGGTCTCGGGAACTATAGGTTGAGGACTTCCTGGGAGGTACTCGACTCTAGCCAACTTTTCCTCTTCCAAACTCTTGACGTTTATGGCAGTTTAAATGTAGGGTTAGATTGCCGACTGTCTTCCGCTAGTCTTGCTGTCTCTGCTTCCAAATCTGGTCTTATTTCGGGCATTCCAACAGCATGTAGATAGCAAGCGTCTGCGATGTGTGAAGATATTTCGAGAAAAAAATTCAGTTACCCAAATATTAGAATAATTGGGTTGTTCTCTAAAGCAACGATTGCGGAACTCAGCCATCTGCTTTTGGAGATAATCAAAGTGTTATTCGAGATGAAGACACCCTCATGTACTGTTCAAAATGTGGAGCAATAAATCTGTTCTGTCAGCGTGAAACCCCTCTTAACATTACCTCGAAAAATCCAATCTGTCAGCGAACATTGGGCAGTTCTCTGAAGAGATGATTGATGAACTCACAAAATTTAGGCCAATGGGCTTTCCCGTGATAAAGAAATGTGCGAATCGGAGGATATAAAATCTTCTCGATCTGCTTTTGAAGATGATGATAGGAAGATGGTTTGATCGGAGAAAAAAATGGATTGTCACATAACTCTCGAGGGGTTCTTCACAAACACATTAGATTTATTGTTCCGCACCAGAATAAGGTGAGAGTGTCATAGTGTGACTGTGCAAAATGCGGAGCAATAAATCGGATGTGTTTACGCAGAACCCCTCGCGTTATCATTACGTAAAACAATGGGGGCTATTGCTTTTCTAAAGCGGGTAATATCTTTCCGGAAGACCATTTTCCAACACCAATGCAGGCATTACGGTGACGCAGACGAGGAATGTTTGGCGTGTGATGTAGCCGATGCAACTGTCCAGAAGTCGCAACGCTATCCCTTTTGCTACAGTAAACAAACACTAAGTGATAAACACTGTGGTAGCTAGCTGGCTGACCGAAACTCTGACGTTGTTCCGGAATGAACCAATATCTGCATGGCTTGCTATTGTTTATTAGTTTTTTCTTTTTGGGTGATATTTCCTATAATCTGAACCGAAGCTACTAATTTATTTCTATCATAGAGATTTAGGGTGGCATTGAAATCCAGTGAGGGCAAAAAGGTGGGCATAAACTTTTTCGTTAAAGAGAAATTCTTCACATCATATAGGGTTTCCTGCAACATTAGTAAATACTTTAATTTAAATTGAAAAAAATATTAAACATGACACTCGTACATACCTTTTTGAAGGGACACTTTTCGGGCAGATTGGTAACCCTCTTAAATTCATTCATCAACGGCCGGACCAGTTGATTGGCTAGCGATTGTTGCAGAAACATACAACAATTAAATCTCAAATCGATTAAATGAATGATTTGTGTAGAATTTGTTGGAGTTACGTCAATAGCAACGTGGGCTTTAAAATTTCGATCCAATTCACGACTGAACATCATTTGAAGCCCTATGCTGTAGTTATTGCTGCTACGTCTCATAAAATTACAGCTAACCTTTTTAAAGAGTTCTTCATGATATTTGTGACAGGTGATATTTTTGAGTTCGAAAATGGTGTTCCACAATCGATATCCTACAAAGAGGAGATTTTTTTACACATTTTTGTTCAAATTGAAAAATATCACTTACATGAATAAGAATGTAGAGCAGAACTATTAGTGTGGTGGCACTTTTCATGGACATTTTGGAAATAAATCACAAAACAAAATATTATCCAATATCCAAAATAATAATTTGAAAATGTAACAAACAATGAATCAAATTGTTCGATTATTTCAGAGCAATTACATACTTGTGTTAACTTAAGAATTCCCAACATTAAGAGACAATTACGGGGAGTTTTTAATTGGAGATTACATATGACGGACGATTCCATTCAGACTTAGCCCATCTCAATATTTCTATCAACACAAGATAAAGATTGTAGAGACCTACTGGTACCTCCACCACAAATGGTCAAAGTTTTCAGTTTCCGAAATAAGAATCCGGTCCTCTTCATATTTCACACATCCCATTATTTCTACCAACGGAACATCTGCTGTGAAGATGGGATACATCGGTCCTTTTCTTCTGGTACCTCCCCCACAAGGATTCAACATTTTGAATATCCATCGCTCATAAAACGCGAAATTAATATCCGATTCCATTCAGACTTGGTACATCTCAATATTTCCAGGTCAAAATTTTGAAAAACAAAACGCTCAAAGAAATCGGAATAAGCATTCTTCAAATTTTACACATGCAAACATTTTTTGTGACACAAGATCTGTTGTGAAAATGATATACAGAGTGAGATAAAAAACTGCAACAAAGTCAAACGCCATAATTTTTACATTTTTATGCCCTCCGCCTTGGAAAGGAGGGTATATTAACTCTGTCATTCCGTTTGTAACATCCTTAAATATTCGTTGTAGACTACATAAAGTATATATATCCATAATCAGCATAAAATTCTAAGTCGATTTAACGATGTCCGTCTGTCTGTCTGCCCGTCGGTCTGTCTGTTGAAATCACGATACAGCCCACATTATTTGACGTAGAGCGCCTAAATTTAGCAGAGCAATTTGTATTGGGTCTAGGATGGTTGGTATTGAAAATGAGATATATCGGTCCACGTTCTGGTATAGTCCCCATATAACGGTACCTTCCGATATTCGGTATTTTGATGATTTATGCCACATTTTTTACGTATTTGTCTGAAAATTGGTATTTGTAGGTCATAATGGGTTCTAGCTCCGTTGGCGAAACATTGCATGTGTAGGTCCACGATTTGGTATAGCCCCCATATAACGATACCTCCCGATATTCGGCATTTTAATGGTTTTTGCCACATTTCTTCTAATATTTCCTTTAACCTAAGGTGGAGGGTATTAAAAGTTTCGCCCGACCGAACTTAATGTTTTTTTACTTGTTTTTTTTTTTTTTTTTTATTTTATTAAATGAAATCAAAAATATCGGAAATAGCATCAAATTCGAATTAGTCAACTTTGGCACGAATTATGGCCTTCAATCGGCCAATGAAACCGTCACACACTGCCCGAATGTTGCTCTGGGGTATTTTGGACCATTCCCGGCGAAGCGCTTGCTTGAGATGATCGGCACTTTGGTATTTTTTAGTACCAACCTTGCTTTCCAAAATACTCCAGACTCAATAGTCCAACGGATTGGTATCCGGAGATTTTGGTGGCCATTGTGCGCTGGAAATGAAGCGAGGAACCTCATTTTGTAACCATTCTTGGGTGGCGCGTGCTGAGTGCGATATTGTTGAGTCCTGTTGGAATGTCCAAGGTCTGCGGCCAAAATGTTTGCGTGCTCAAGGCTTTAATACACCCTCCAGAATATTTTCGCGATAATATTCGGCATTTATTCTGATGCCACGGTCGATTACTACGAGCGGACAGGTCGCTGTCTGGCGGCCCACAGCATCACCATGACCGGCACTTGAGTTCTGGTGGCCAACCGAAGGTGCACATTTTCAGCTGACCTCTTTGGCAAGTAAACACGATCATTTTGTTTGTTTACAAACTGCTGAACAACGAATGTTTTCTCATCGGAGACGGAGAAAACACCATTTCTGCTGATGTTGCTGTCTTCTTCCGTTCACTTCCTTGACGTCGGGCTACGCTACCAGTATCACGGTAACGAGCGATGGTACGAGTCACAAAAGATTTATTCGCATTTAAATGCGTGCTCTAAATGCGGAGTGCTCTAACGATTACCACTTGTGGGTTTCCAGCCAAATAAAAAGAAATCACACTATCACGCTTGAATTCTATCACGATTTTTTTCTGGAATATTCTCACCAAAATGCTTTCGTACGCTTGTAAACAATATAATGAGCTGCCGCTGGAATAATTTTAACAGCTGTCGGACGAGTGACAGCAGTCTGAAATTGGTTGCAGTTTTTATTCCCACTGCTATTCTATGGAGGGTACATTAACTTTGTCATTCCGTTTGTAACTCCTCGAAATATTTATAATAGACCCTACAATATATATATTCTTGATCAGCGTAAAATTCTAAGACGATCTAGCAATGTCCGTCTGTCTTTCCGTCTGTTGTAATCACGCTATCTTGCGAACGAATGGAGGTAGAAGGCTAAAATTTTGCGCAAATGCATAGTTTATAAGTAGGTTCTGTTAAGTTCGTAAATGGGACATGTCCCATATTACGGTACCTACCGATATTCGGTATTTTCATGATTTTAGCGGCATTATTCACTGGAACTGTTTCAAATTTCGTATTTGAAGTTCGTAATAGGTACTACAACCTATGACAAATATTTTTGAACGCAATTCCACGTCTTCGTATAACCCCCATTTTAACAGTACCTCCCGATAGTCGGTATATTGATGAATTCAGCAACGTTATTCAGCATAACCATTTTAAATTTCGTATTGGAAGATCTTAATAGGTACTACAGCCTATGACAAAAATTTTTGTATGCAGGTCCAAGTATTTGTATAGCCCTCACATAACGGTACCTGCTGATATTCGGTATTTTGATGATTTCAGCAACTTTATTCACCGGAATCGTTTCAAATTTCGTACTGGAGGATCCTGATGGGTACTACAACCTATGGCAAACAATTTCGTCTTCGTATAAATATTGTTAAATAATCTAAGATTATAGCCGCGATTAGCGCGTAATTGGGTAGTCTTTTCAAAAATATTTTCAAAATTGCCAAAATTTATGATGGATATTTTGTGTAACAATGAAGGGTGTAAACATGATTTTCTCTTTTGCCCTTACGCTTAAATATGTTGTACATATTATTACATATTATAAATAAATAATTGAAAACTCTCTCATTTTAAACGGGAGTATTGAGTACTTCAACACCATTTTTTTTCAAATGGGCATTATCAAATCAAAATTATTTTTTTAATAACCCCAAAAACATTTTACCTCTAATTTGATTGTGTATTAAAATTCTACAATTTAGCTATTGAAGAGAGCTTAACTATTTGCAACTGTTAACGACTAGTGTTCATTTATTTTCAAAATGTTTATGAAAATTGTCAACGCACCAATGGCTCTGCTGCTCTGCATGTTGATTATTCTGATTGAAGTAAGTGTTACTTTTTCAATAAAAAAATTAAACAATAACAAAAAATAATAGTAATAAAATAACGGCATCAATCTCAGAACACCGGCTGTCGCACTGCCATATTCGAAATAAAAAATGTCACCTGTCGTAAGTATAACAAAGAGCCAGTCAAACAGATAAGCTGTGAATTTGTGAAACGCGGCACCAACAACTACAGCATTACCCTGCAAACAACGTTCAGTCGCAATTTGGTCAGAAGTTTTAAATCTCACGTCACCATCGATGTAATGCCCAGCAATTCGAGGCAAATTATCCATCTGATCGATTTGAGATTTAATTCTTGCATGTTTCTGCAACAATCGCTGACCAATCAACTGATCAAGCCATTGATTGCGGAATTTAAGAGGGTCACCAATCTACCGAAAAAGTGTCCCTACAAAAAGGTGAGTTATGTTTTGAAATAGTTTTCATGAGTCATATTTAAATACATTTGATTTTTACTTCCAGGATGTCCTTTATGAGGCCAAAAATTTCTCCTTAACTAAAAGTTTTATACCTTCATATTTCCCCTCAGTGAGTTACAATACCACATTACATCACTACGATAGAAACGAAATTATTGGGACAATTCAGATTTTCGGAGGGTCTGAGCAAAAAAGCAAACGTTAGTCATCAAGCAAACAAAAGTGTGGTTAAATATATAGCGATTTTCAAAAAAATAAAATCCGTTAAAAATTCTGTTGAAAATCTTAAAAAAACCGAATGTAGCCGGTATATTAGGGTCTATACGACCCATTACAATATCAAATGCGAACCTTGAAAAAAAATCGAACTTCAAATACCAAATTTTAAACAATTCCGGTAAATAATGTCGATAAAATCATCAAAATACGGAATATCGGGAGGTACCCTTATATGGGGGTTATGCGTAGATGTGAACCTGCATACGAAATTTTTTGTCATACGCTGTAGTACCCATTTCGAACTTTAAATATGAAATTTGAAATAATTCCGGTAAATAACGTCGCGAAAATCATCAAAATACCGAATATCGGGAGGTACCATTATATGGGGACTATACGAAGACATGGACCTGCACAGACAATTTTTTGTCTCAGGCTGTTGCACCTATTACGAACTTCGAATATGAAATTTGTTACAATTTCGGTGAATAGTGTCGCTATAATCAACAAAATACCGAATATCGGGAGGTACTATACAAAGACGTTGACCTGCTCAGACAATTTTCTGTCTTAATCTGTAGTGTCCATTATGAACGTCAAATACCAAATTTGAAACAATTCCGGTGAATAGTATCGCTAAAATCATCAAAATACCGAATATCGGGAGGTACCGTAATATGGGGGCTGTACGAAGACGTGGACCTGAATACGAAATTTTTTGCCATAGGTTGTAGTACCCAATAATATCTTCCAATATGAATTTTGAAACGATTCCGGTGAATAATGTCGCTAAAATCATTAAAAAATCGAATTTCGGGAGGTACCGTTGTATGGGGGCTGAACGAAAACATGGACCTGCACAGGCAATTTTCTGTCATGGGCTGTAGTATTCATTACGAACTTCAAATACCAAATTTGAAACAATTCCGGTGAATAATGTTGCTAAAATCATCAAAATACCGAATATCGGGAGGCGCCGTTATATGGGAGCTATACGAAGACGTGAACCTGCATACAAACTTTTTTGTCACAGGCTGAAATACCCATTACGAACTTTAAATACTAAATTTGATACAATTCCGGTAAATAATGTCGCTAAAATCATCAAAATACCGAATATCGGGAGGTACCATTATATGGGGACTACACGAAGACGTGAACCTGCACAGACAATTTTCTGTCATAGGCTGTAGTATTCATTACGAACTTCAAATACCAAATTTAAAAGAATTCAGGTGAATAATATCGCTAAAATCATCAAAATACCGAATATCGGGAGCTACCGTTATATGGGGGCTATACGAACATGTGGACCTGCATACAAACATTTTTGTCATAGTCTGTAGCACCCATTACGAACTTCAAATACGAAATTTCTAATAATTCCGGTAAATAATGTCGCTTAAAAACATGAAAATATCAAATATCGGGAGCTTCTGTTATATTGGGGCTATACGAAGACGTGGACCTGCATACGAAATTTTTTCCATAGGCTGTAGTACCCATTGAGATCTTCCAATAACTAATTTGAAATAATTCTGGTAAATAATGTCGCTAAAATTATGAAAATAGAACTTAACCTGCCTATTGGTAAACTATGTATGTATGCAAATTTTTAGCCTTCTATCTCAATTCGTCCAAATCTAGCGTAATTACAACAGACAGACGGATAACGCTAGATCGTCTTACAATTTTACGCTGATCCAGAATATATATACTTTGTAGGGCCTATTTTGAATATTTCCAGGAGTTACAAACGGAATGACAAAGCTACTAATATACATACCCTCAATAGAATGATGGAGGTTATATAATAAACTATTATTATAAAAAGCAAAATTAATGGGCAAATTGCTCGGCAATGCCACTGGTATGGAAGTGTTCTGAACTGTAAATTTACGAAAATCCGAAGCTAAGCTACCCAAGTTACTTAACTAAGAAATTTTGAAAACGACAGACTGGGAAATTCGGTGCTGGTCTCATAGCAATTGTATACCGGCCGAGGAGCCTTGGCTCGGAATGGCGACGCTGACGCACCACCACCCTTACCAGAAACAACACCCGGACGGACAATGCATGACTGTGCGTTTCGACCCGGCGTCGATGCAACAGAAGACCGGCACTAGAACTTCAGCACCAAACATCTGTCCGGCAAATTTATGTTGAGAGAACAATAGTGTGACGGATGTCCACTGAGCAGATCTGCAAACACTAATAACGGTCTAGCGATCAATGTCCAGCTACGTGCCATCACAAACAGAAGACACACACTTCCGTCAGCCATTGCATTGGAAGTTGTATATATACCAAACTACAAATGGAAAAAGCATATGTGAATTATAAGTGATGAAAATAGTATTAATACATTGGAAAATGTGAGCCATGTTCCATTGGTAGACGTTTAGTGAACACAGCTAAATGTGTGTGTGCCAGAGTTGCATTTTTATAACGGTGATTTGTTTTCAAACAAAGGGTTGTTTTTATTGAGGTAGTATACACAGCGGCCTCTATCCTTGAGATTTGTCTGAAAATTCTTGAAAATGTGTGCGGATTTGGTTTTCCTTAAATGTTAAAACTGAGTGGAAATATTACTACTAGAGGGTAATGTACACTTTTTCTTCCAGAACTATGTTCAGATGTATTAACACAAGGGCAAGTTGGAAATGTATATCCAAACCTTTTAGCGCTGATATGAAAAGTAGCTCACAATCTGGACCCAAATCGATGAAGTATATTTCCTATCATTACAACCTCATTTTTTATTGAGGTATAGTTCTCAACATTTCAAACATAGTCGAGAATATTATCACTGTACCCGACAACACACTGTGGTGCAGGGTATAATGCCTTTGTGCATTTGTTTATAACATGGCCCATAGTTCGGAATGCGATTCTATGCAGATCATCACAAATCTGCATAGAATCGCTTTCTGAGTCGATTTATGTCAGTCAGTCCGTCCGTCTGTTCATATATTTTTGTTTGGTCAAATGCCGACCACTATTGAAATTGGAGATAATCGGTTCAAATTTAGTTGTAGCTCTCGTACATCCCTTCGTCCGATTTGTCTTTTATTGTGCACCAAATGCGTAATATATGTCCACAAAAATGCAATCTAGCCAATGATATTGTCGAGATCGGTTCGTATTTATTTTGCTAAGTGTGCACGTCGATTATTTAAGCCAACAAACAAAAACCGGAAACTTACAAAATTATTAAAAAAAAAATATTAACAAGTAAAAAAGCAGTAACAAGTAAGTAAGCCGAACTTTGAATACCCTCCACAATTTAGAACGAATTTGAAAATTTTCGAAGAATATAACATTCGCCAAAAATTCTGTTAATATTTTAAAAATACCGAATATAGCCGTTATATTAGGGCCTGTACCACGTGCACCTATATAGGCATTGTTTGTCACAAGTCATTACCATATTCAAACCTGAAATAAACGGTGAATAATGTAGCCAAAATCATCAAAATATCGTACATAGGTAGGTACCGTTATATTGAAGCTATACGAAGACCTGGACCTGTACAGATTTTCTGTCACAGGCTGTAGCTTCCATTACGAACTTCAAATACGACATCTCAAACTATTTCGGTGAGTATTGTACCTAAAATCGACAAAATACCAAATATAAGGAAGTACTGATATATGGGGCCTATACGAAGACTTGGAACTGCATAGACAATTTTCTGCCTTAGCCTGTAGTATTCATTTTCGAATGGGGGCCCATTTACGAACATAACCTGCATACTGGCAAAATAAACATGTGTGCAAAATTTTAGCCTTCTATCTTAATTCGTTCGAAAGATAGCGTGATTAAAACAGACAGACGTCTTAGAATTTTAGGCTGATCAAGAATATATATACTTTATTGGGTCTAAGATCATTATTTCAATGAGTTACAAACGGAACCCTCCACTATACTATGGAGGGTATAAAAAAGGAGAGGAACTGGCAAGAAAGAGCTCACAGTCTCCAGATCAGGGGATTATAATTTCAGCAAGCCCGCCTAGTCGTATGTAATCTGTGGATTGTTACAGTAATGAGGAATATGAACATTTTCATTGAAAATGCCAGACTGACTCGAGTTTAACCAATGTTCCGGGGTTAATCGGGCTGCCTCACTGCCATTGGAACTACATTAAATACATTTTCTTGCAAAAAGGACAATGTCGTTATTTCTGAACACCACACCCACAAATGCTTGATTTACACTTACATATAAAACTATGCGGAAAGTCATAATAATGCGAGGAGGCAATAATATCTGCAGATTGGTATAATACCCCAGTAAAGAGACATATGAAGATTTCTGAATAATATACCAAGGAACAGTGGGTCCTATCAACAGGTCTATTTCGGTAATGGTACTACACTATATAAATTTTGCTACGCCGCATCACTGATCAAGGTAACAGTTATTAGAAAAAAAAAACAGACATGAATCATGAACAGAAAACAAACAGCACATAATCCATATTAGGCCTTCAAACGGACCAGAATCAAAGTTCAGGCTATAACAATTGACTCGAGAATTATTCAAGGTCTTCATAAGAATCTATGATTTCAATAGTGTACAATGCAAAAAGGTCCAAACTCTACCCGACCGACGTCTAATACGGAACAATGTAGTGCTATATGGAACCGCCCTTTTATCAGCACCCTTTTGGAATTTTTTCACGCGAGCAAAACTGTCTTTTACTCCTCCTCTCTCTCTCCTTTATGCAAATAATGATCATTGGACCAATAAATGCTGTTGCAAGCTCCATCATTGCGGTACAGGATAACTACATTTCCATCTTGTTGAGTAGGGGTAAAGGCTTAATTACAATTTTCCTTAAAATTATATATTACATTTCATTAAAATATAATTTATCATTTTCAAGAATAAATTCATATATTTCAATGACTCTACTGCATCTCTACTGGTCTATTGTGAATGCTAAAACAGAGAACCCTCGCAATTGTGAATAACAGCTGCTCATCATAGCACGAAAACAACAACACTTTTCTTTGTTTACATTTTTTCATTTCATTCTATTTCTAACAAGCCAGGGCCATGGAATCTTAAACCGGCCACAGAAAAAATAATTAAAAAAAAATAATAATATATAATGGACCTCATTACCCGAACGGTCCTGAAAACAAAATGTTGGTGTCTAATAATAATTATAGTTTCCTCCTTGGGCCGGATCAAAACAACACCGTCGCAGTATGCCCAACTGGACATAAATGTCGTACTTACAAAGGTGGATAATGAATATTTGGTGCATTTCACCAATTACTATTGGAGGGTGACCAGAGAAAAATACATAAATGCTGCATTTGAGAGGAAAAATCTTGCCATCAATTGGACATTTGTTCCCCGATCGCATTTGTCTGATTTATATCCCAGTGACTTTGAAGTAATTCAAACCACGATTCCCAATGTTACAGATATTTTAAAATTACATCCAGCAATTAGAGATGTAAATCAGCAAAATATAATTACCCGAGATTTGAAATATACTCCCCAAAGGAATCAGACTTCTGTGGACTATCAATCACGCCATTTGTTGGGTGTAGTTCCAGGCCACATAACAGACTTGTTACATGTACGTGATCTATGGAATCGTGGCATAACTGGCAAGGGTATTAAGGTAGCTGTCTTTGATACGGGGCTACCCAAACATCATCCCCATTTCCGTAATGTCAAGGAAAGAACAAATTGGACCAATGAAAAGTCTTTGGACGATGGTGTAAGTCATGGCACATTTGTGGCTGGGGTCATAGCCTCTTCCAAGGAATGTTTGGGCATTGCCCCAGATGTTGAGCTTCACATTTTTAGGGTGTGCACAAACATACAGGTATCGTATACCTCATGGTTTTTGGATGCCTTCAATTATGCCATGTTCCGCAAGATAAATGTTTTGAATTTAAGCATTGGTGGCCCGGATTTTATGGATCGTCCGTTTGTAGACAAAGTTCTGGAATTGTCTGCAAATAAAATCATAATGATATCCGCCATTGGTAATGATGGGCCGCTTTATGGCACCCTAAACAACCCGGGAGATCAAAGTGATGTTATTGGGGTTGGAGGTATTAACTCGGATGACATGGTGGCCAAATTTAGTTCTAGGGGTATGACCACATGGGAGTTGCCCAGGGGTTATGGCCGTGTGAAACCAGATATTGTCACCTATGGTAGTCATGTAAAGGGTAGCAATTTAAATGGTGGCTGTAGATCATTGTCGGGTACTTCAGTGGCCTCACCGGTTGTTGCTGGAGCTGTGGCCTTGATTTTAAGTGGAGCCTTACCAAAATTGCCCTTGGTTAATCCAGCTTCTGTTAAACAAATACTGGCCGAAGGAGCAACTAAACTGAAGCATAACAATATTTTCGAACAGGGTCATGGCAAGTTGAATGTATCGAAGAGCATGAATCTGTTGTTGGCATATGAACCCAAAATTACCCTAAGTCCAGCTTATATGGACTACACAGATCCTTATATGTGGCCTTACAGCTCACAGCCAATGTATTGTGGATCGATGGCCTCAATTATAAATGTTACCATTTGGAATGGTTGGTCAGTTAGAGGCAAGATTCTAGAGGAACCACAATGGCATCCCAATTTGGAAGAAAATGGTGAAATTTTGAAAGTTGACATTTCATATTCTCCTCTGCTGTGGCCCTGGTCTGGCTGGATGGCCGTTAAGATAAAAGTTAAAGACATAGATTGTCTATATGAAGGAGAAGCTGAAGGCTCCGTGAGCCTGAGTGTTGAAACAGCGGGGCGTAATGAAACCATACATTTTCCTATCAAAGTTAAAATATCACCAAAACCACCCAGGCATAAACGAATATTATGGGATCAATATCATAATATACAATATCCACCGGGGTATATACCCAGAGACAATCTGAAAATTAAAACAGATCCCCTGGATTGGAGGGGCGATCATTTGCACACCAATTTTCGTGACATGTATCATCATCTGCGAAATCATGGTTATTACATTGATGTCTTGGGTATGCCCTTCACCTGCTTTAATGCCTCCGAATATGGTACATTGTTAATTGTGGATCCCGAAGAGGAATTCTTTGATGAGGAAATTCAAAAACTGCAGGAAGATGTATACGATCATGGACTGGGGCTAATTATATTTGCCGATTGGTATAACACCACCGTAATGCGAAACATGAAGTTTTTTGATGAAAATACCAGGGAGTGGTGGTTGCCTGACACGGGTGGCACAAATGTTCCGGCCCTAAATGATCTGCTGGAGGGATTTGGCATTTCATTAAGTGATGACATTGCTGAAGGTTATTACGAGCTGGGCGATCATCAGGTCTATTATGCCAGTGGTACAACGCTAAATACATTTCCCCGCAACAAGGAAAATATTGTTATATCTGCTCGCCTCACTGACCAGGCTAATGAAGTAATTAAGAAGAAATCAGACAACACTCAAGAACAGAAAATACACAACACTTATCCCATATTGGGACTGTTTCAAATGCACGAAAATCAAAGGTCAACCATGAAAATATCCTCTGACCTGGTTACGCTAGAATTATTAGAGGATGAAAATGATTTAAATGACACCCACAATCATTCCGACTACAATTCAGTTCTGAATAAGAGAGTTCTGCTAGAGAAAAAAATACTGAAAAGTGGACAAATTGAAATACAAAACAAAGACAAGAATAAAAAACAAGCTCTGTATTTAATCAATGAAAGTCTCAACAAAAAGGAGACCAAAGAAGGTCGTATCGCCATTATGGGTGATTCCAATTGTATCGATTCAACGCATGCTGAAAAACCTTGCATGTGGCTCTTGGATGCTCTTCTCGCGTATACAATGAATTCTCATGTAGCCTCGATGTTCAATAAACTTAATAGCATGGAATCGTATAGAAATAGTAAGGATTGGGAGCTCCGCCGATCAAGTCCAAAGAGATTGAAAAGTTCGAAATTGTATAGATACTCAAAAGTTTTACATCCAAAGGATAAATTTAGAAAAAGACAATTGGAAGTGTGTTGATTTTATTTTTATACACATGCAGTAGTGTTTAAGATAACAATTAAGAATTCGAAGATTCGGATGAAAAAATGTAGAGCCTTTTTATACATGAAATTTAACAAGTAATGGAATACTTGAAATCAAATTGTATACGAAATAAAATGTGGTTTTAATTTGGGGGAACTCATAGTGAGGGTTGAAATTCAACGACCTTAATGATTACAGACAGCAGGAATCAATTCCTTAAGAGGGCAAGAATGTAAGTACTTTGGCAGTATCCTGGCTTGATAATAACGTATCTTCTAGTAATGGAAGATATTGTTTAAGAATATTTTTCAAGACCAAAACATTTCGACACAAATATCGATTTAAAAAGAAGATTTTTCATGGACAATCAGAGCCATGAAACGTAGATTTCTAAGGAGGGTTTTTAAGATCCACAACTAAATATTTTTATGAACATCGGAGGCCGTCTAAATTATTTAAAGAGAACCAGTGTTCAGGCTTTTTTAGCAACATGGGAGACAACCATATTTTTTTCCAGAATATTTTTCAGGTTGTATCTGATTTAGAGATTAATTACGAAAAAGGCTCCAAAAATTATATTTCAAAGGCCATCATAGACAGGCAGGATTATTAAGAGTAAGACATAGGAAGCTTTGAACTATCTGATATCCATATACCTAACAGAGTCATCTGGACCCGCGACACTCCACCTTTTAACGGTAAAGCTGTATATACTGATCAAAAGATGGAAGATGGAGCTGGGGTCTACTGTGAAAGTCTAAGTATCCAACGATCCTTCGAACTAAAAAACGACTGTAGCGTTTTCAGGCAGAAATCTTTGCTGTCACGAAGGCCATAGAGCTGCTAGCAAATAGAATCAATGAACTGGACGGACCGGTGACTATATATGGCGATAGTCAAGCGGCCCTGAAGGCTCAAAATTCATTTACAATCAAATCTGTGGCAGGTCTGGAATGCAGGAATGATCTGGAAAAGGTGAAATCGTTTGTCAAACTCTGTTGGGTTTCTGGTCAACATATCTGGCAATGAATTGGCCAGACGCTGATCTCAGTCAGAAGATCTAGAGATTGAAAGCTCAGTGATGCCAACTTTATGTCACCTCTTCCAATTACTGCATTAGCAATGTCTTGAGAAACTTCAACAGAACTGCCTAACTGGAAGGGGATGTAATGTCTCCAAAAAGATTTGGCCGGTGAACTCCGAAAGGAGGTCACTCATATCCATGACGAAGCTGGACTTGAAGCTTGTGGTGGGCCTAATTACAGGACACTGCAACATAAAGGCCATGACATCCAAATGGGGGATGACGACACTGAATACTGCAGGCTTTGTCAGGAAGAGGAAGAAACGGTGGAGCACTTAATCTGCCACTGCCCAACTCTTATACTGAGACAGACATCGACATCGAGCCAGCACTTATTCTTCAGTTAGCCAAAAGACTAAAATGGCTAAGGGCGACACGTTGACACACCGTGAATGCAAACCTACTAACTTCTCTACTCTTTATTCAGATTCTCACTTCTTCACTATTCGCTAATCATTTCCTTCTCTTCTCTCTTTTCTATTCTCCTATCTTCTTAAATTAGGACGAACACAATGGCCCAAGGGGTCTCCGAGTGGAATGGTTGTTTATAGAACCGCGCACCCTTTAACCTAACCTAAGACATAGGAATACAGGTATATTTTTCAGGCTCTCCAGGGCCACCCAGGATCCATAAGATATAGATATGATTCTTAAAAACTTTTCCTCAAGAAAAGTCCGTTCAAGCTCGCCAAACACTTTTTAATGGGTTTGCTAGACAGGACTTTTAGATAAAATTTTTTCTCAGATTTATTTTTTAACATCATCGGAGACTTTCAAATTATTGAAGAAAATATTTTTAAATACCACCAAACCCATGAAGATTTTTTTCTCAAAAAACATATAAGCCAGCCAGTATTTTTATAAACTTTTGCAAGAACCATAGTCGTCCAAAATATTTTTTAGATCTAGAACGAGTGGCCTTAGGTTTATATTTTTATCAATGGGCCACAAAATTTACGCAAACGGATGAATAAAGTGTAAAAAAGTTGAAGTACATACCTGCTCATATCCAATGTATTCTTAAATGTCTTGAATCTTCAACAGTTTTTGAATCTTGACTTGTTTTGTTTTATATCGGTTCTTGATTATGTAATAAATGATAGAATCTTGAGGTATCTTCACTTAATTTTCCTGAGTCTTGTCACTTGCATGTAGGATTAATTTCCTACATTTCCTACATTTTCTTGATATTTTCAATTTCGTTGTAATTCCAATTCTTGAATCTTGAAATTCCTTGTAATTTGTATTAACTATTTAAAAATAGACTTATAACTTATATATTATCTACTTAAATAAAACTTAAATCATACTTTTGTCTCGGCCACCACATCGTGTAAATAATGTTCAAATTGATGTTCGACAAGTTGTTGGATCAGACAATCGTTGCACAAATTCAACGGACAATAGCAGGTATTACAACGCCAACCGGAACGGGCAACGGCGGATGTTTCACAATTTTCACACTTCGCCGACAATGGATCGGGACTGTAACCCTCGGGTGTGGCTAATTTCTCCTGCTTTATTGTTTCCAACATGTTTATTCTTTGTTGTCGCATTTCGGGTGTCAAGGGCTCTTTCTTTACTTCATTGCCAATTTCGTTGGAATCCAAATGCATAGTTCTTTCTTGTGACGTCATACTAGGTGATGGGGAATTTAAATCGCTAAACAAAAAATCATCTTCCGACATATGAACGGGAACATTGTGCGAGGGGAAAAACGTCGATGGCCGATAGTAGTGTTTTGATTTGGTGTGACCCATACGACGATTTTTGGGTATCCTGCCTGGTATGGGCATACCAGCACTATGCAGTTTTTGGAAATATTTTTGAACTCTACTTGACACCTGTTGGGGAGTACGATTGCCCAATGCCTTGGCAATTTTGGTAAAGCGATGCATTTCGACACGTTCCTCCGGATATTCGATGAGTAATTCTTCAAGACGTTTCTGTTCCTCGACGGTCCATAGTTGATTGTATGTTTCCGGTTTTGTTTCATCCATAACCCGGCCACGCACAATGGGGAACTCGGATTTTATCGTTTCACATACATCTGCTTTGGGTTCCTCTTTGATTTTTACATCTTCCTGCGGCATGTCATCATATTTTCCAATTTCTGGTAGCTAAAAATAACAAATTGTTGACAATTGTAAATAAATATATTTTTGAAATAAATACCGTGGCAATGGTCAAGTGTTCCGCTGCCACTATGGGTTCCCCGCTTTGTATCTTTTTCAAAAACAACTCGGGATCATCCATATAACGCTTTTTAGCTAAGGCTAGTTCTTCCATTTGCTGATGTACTCGCACCCGCTGTGCCTCCAGAATAGCAATGGTCCTCAACATATTTGTGTAGTCTCGGTTTCCACGCAGTGCCAAGTGGTCACTTTCGAAATAAAACACATTCTCATCGAGTACGCTTTCGGCATCGCTTTCGGTTTCTTGCTGTTCCATTTGTTTAAATGAAGTTGCTTTCAGAGATTTTTCACTTTTTATTATGTTTTTAAATTCAAAAAATATGAAAAATATTATTGTTGGTTGAGTTGTTTTGTTAAGAGCGAATTCGCGCGTGGGAACCAAAATGAAAGTCGTCCCCAACAAAACGAATATTAAGGCCCAAAAGAAATATTTGATAGCAAACAGGAAGCAAAATCCCCTAGGGAACTCTGTTGTTTACGAATGAGACATAAGGAAAACATTCACAAAAAGAGCGCGGAACTAGCTACACAATTTGAAACATTGTTGAACAAAAAAGGGAAAGATGAAAATAATGTAAGGTGGTTTACACACCATTGTGACATATTATAAAGGTATGCCGAATCCTGTCGTCGTAACATTCGACACTATAATGTGTAGCCATGATGCCAAGCTTCTTATGTAGCCTCTTCGGACTAATTAATAATCGTTGATTTTTTATAAATATTTCCCATGGACTAGTAATTATGGGTATTTATTTATTTTATTTATTTTTATTTCATCCATTTCTGTAATACAAAGCCTATAAGACCATATACAAGTATTACTAGTTACAAAATTAAACCTGAGCTTATAGTAATAATACAACTCTTTCATTTTACTAAAATACATAATTTAATTTCATTTAATTTCATCTAACAGTTGTCTTGTATAATTTGCCATGCACTAGGTCAAAAACAGTGGATTTTTAAAGATTTTTACTTGTCAAGAAACCAAGAATCGCAATTTTTATAACCTCAGCCATATGGCTAGAGAGGGTATATATCATTAGATATTGTCAAAACCATGGTACAATGATATCAAGGTAGGGCTATGATACCATATGATTTTAATTTTTTTTATTTTCTTGGCTTAATATGTCATCTTTATTTCTTTATGTATGTCATGGCAGAAGAATACAGGTAGATGCATCAACGCTTGGGAGCATTTGTATGTCAAAAAATGTTAATGTTTTTTTCAAATATAAGTAGATTTTTATATGTTTTCTTATACTACGTTATTCGGAGGTTATTATAATTCGCGTTTTTCAACAATTTTAATAAATTTAAATAATTTTTCATTCAACATTTTCAATTCCAAAATAGGTTTGGCAGTTCATTGTCCCAGCAGCTGTGTCGACGCGTCTACCTATATTCTTCTACCATGATGTATGTGTTTTCTTTTCAATAACAAACAAATTGTTCAGAAAATATTCAAATTCGGGTGTTTTCGATTTTCCCCCAAAGGGTCAAACTTTTGAATAATTACAACTCTTATAAAACGTGATGTAAGAGTCCGATTGTGTTCAAATTTCACACATCCCAATATTTATATTAACCCAAGGTCTGGTGTTAAGATGGAATATATCGGTCCACTTCTTCTGGTAACTCCCCCAAAAATGGTCGAAATTTTCAAAAATTATTTTCTTTGAACAGAAAGAGAAACGATATTCCGATTTTGTCACAACTTTGTCAATTCAAATATTTTCGTCAGTGCTAGGTCAGGTGCGAAAATGGACAATATCGATCCACTCCATCATGTACATCCCCCACAAAGGGTCAAAATTTTGAATAATTACAACTCTTATAAAATGTGATGTAAGAGTCCGATTGTCTTCAAATTTCACAAATCCTAATATTTTAATGAACCCAAGATCTGGTACTAAGACGGAATATATCGGTCCACTCCGTCTGGTACCTTCGCCACAAAAGGTCGAAATTTTCAAAAATTATTTCTTCTGCACAGAAAGAGAAACGACAATCCGTTTTTTTAACTCCTAATATTTGCGTCAGTGCTAGGTGAGGTGCGAAAATGGACAATATCTGTCCACTCCATCAAGTACCTCCCCCCAAAGGGTTAACATTTTGAATAATTGCAGCTCTTATAAAATGTGATGTAAGTGTCCGATTGTCTTCAAATTTCATACATCCCAATATTTATATTAACCCAAGGTCTGGTGTTAAGATGTAATATATCGGTCCACTTCTTCTGGTACCTCCCCCACAAATGGTCGAAATTTTCAAAAAATGCACAGAAAGAGAAACGATAATCCAATTTTGTTTCAACTTTGCACATCCTAATATTTGCGTCAGTGCTAGGTGAGGTGCGAAAATGGACAATATCGGTCCACTCCATCAAGTAATAAAGGGTTAACATTTTGAATAATTGCAGTTCTTATAAAATGTCCGATTGTCTTCAAATTTCATACATCCCAATTTTTATATTAACCCAAGATATGGTCCTAAGACGGAATAAATCGGTCCACTCCTTTTGATACCTTCCTCAAAAAAGGTCGAAATTTTGAATATCCAATAAGCTCGTTAAACGCGAAATTAACTATCGATTCCATTAAGACTTGGCACATCTGAATATTTGTATCAACAAAGGATCTGTTATAAAGACGGTAGAGATCGGACGGTTTTGAATATCCAAAACGTTTATTAAATTCGAAATAAGCATCAGGTTCTCTTTACATTTCACACATACAAACATTTTTGCTAACACATAAAAAGCGAAATCAACATCCGATTTATTTCATACTTGGTACATCTCAATATTTCCATCAACACAAGATTAAAGATGGTAGATGCTACTTCCCCCACGTAGGGTTCAAGATTTAGAAAAACACTCAAGGAAGGCGATATAAGCATCGATGGAAGGTGAAATAAGCATCCAACTCTCCTCAAATTTTACACATACATGAAGATGAAGATAATATATACCTGCGAACCCATTCTAAAAACCGAACCTTTTTCTAAAAAATATCATATATCTCATGTAAAGTGAAGGGAGTTATATATTTAGTCCAAAGCTGGCTCGTCGCAATATATCATTTTTATTTAGGTCCGATACTAAGTGGACAATATTGGCCCATTCTTTCAAAACCTACTCCATAGAGAGTCATGAGTTTGAATGATCATATTCAAAATATTTTTAAACAATCGAACATTGGCTGAGGGTACATATCTGTGGCAAAACCGACCGATATTTTTTACCTGTTGTTAAAGAATTTTTAATTATATGTTTTCAGGCAGTGTCTTTGAAGGTTATTTTCAGAAATATGAATTTTTAAGAATAATTTTTTTCAATAAACATTTTTTTAAGAGACATTAATTTTTATGTATACTTCCGGTAATACGGATTTTTAAAGAAGTAATTTGGAAAAAAAATGTTTATTTCCGCCATTATTTAAAAGTTCTTCAAGGCTGTAGCTGGTTAAAAAACGAAGATTTTTAAGAAGAAAATCAAGTACACTTTTTTTTAAAAAATTTCCATTTTTAAGAATAGTAGCTCTGTTCCAGAACTGCAGGAATGAAAAACTTTTTACTACGAAAACCGATTTTTCTTTATCAATCAAAAAAATGGAAAAACTAGTAGATTCTTTCAATTTCTAAAAGAGAGCAAATGTCACCGGATAGTTTTTAAATAGTACATTTGAGGAATATTGGACTATTTGCTAAATGTATTCCATCTATATCTCTGTTTAGGTACAGTAATTGCAACAAAGGGTTAACTTCTAAAGTCAAACAATTATTCCTGCCTTTCACAACCTATTTTCAGCCATCACTGCTCTGTTCCAGAACCTACAAGAATATACTAGATTTGCAAGTTTTTTCGGAAAAGTAATACTTTTATATTCATATAGATTCTGGGATAGGGACTGTCTTAACCACAATATTTGAAAACACAAATGGTCTGTCCCAGGACTGCAAGAATATTAGTTTTTACTACGATAACCAACTTTCCCTTTATGATATCGAAAAAATGCAAATCTGGTAGACTTGCAGGTTCTGGAACATAGCAAAAATTGAACAATAATGGAGGCTTATGTGGAACTGGTGTATGGAACAATATCACTTAAAATATGATTTATTTCTTTTTGTTATATTAAACGATTTCATCTTAAATACAAAACAAGAACCTAAAGGAAACAACATTTCAAATCATTAAAAGGTATTTTTTAACTAATCACTTTTTGTTTCAGCTTTGGGTTCTGCCGCCTTAGGTGTCTCTGTTGTCTCTGAGGCTAATTTTGTTGCCATTTCTGCCAGCTTTTCACGTCTATAATCTTTGCGTGCTTCATCCAAAAGAATATTGTGTATGTAATTACGATTTTGGGAAAAGTCCGGCAGCAGCGAGGGATAGGGATTACCTCTCAACTCAAGAACAGCTTTGTCATAATAAATGCCAGGATAATCACGGGGAGCTTTGTACATACGGGTGAATGAAACATTGCTGTTCTCAAAGCGCGGTACTAGCACTTTGAATAACTTGTGTACCAATTGTTTTTCCAACAGCCAGAAATCGGCTAATTCCATGGTGGCCTTATGACGATCGCCATGTCGTATGGCATCGGAAATGAGCTAGAAGGAGAAGTAGAAAATTAGCAACTACCGTGATGAGTTTTCATAAAATTTCACTAACCAATTCAGCATAACCTCTGGCTTCATCAGCTCTTTGGTAGAACAATTCAATACGTTCATGTTTGACCAAGGCAGTGACGGTCTTCCTCAGTTTCATCAAACGACCCTCAGGACCATCGGGATTTTTCAAATTACGTTTATTGGGTCGCACAGCAAACCTCAACTGGGACATTAATTTGGTTACCTCAGCTTGATTCATTTTGAAAGGATTTTCTTATAACTTTTCTTTGCTTAAAATCCAAAGAAAATCCTGCTGCAATCCACCGAAACGACGAAATTTACGTAAAAAACACTTTTGACAGCTACATGCGGTAAAGAGAGCAATATGCCTCTCTCACACATGATTGTATCGCTGTTGTGATTGACGAAAACATATGTTTGTCAAGCGACAGGGACTGTGTTATTAGTTCGTAGTGAATATTGTGATTGTGGCGTTTGGATTTTGTCTGTTAAAAATAGAAAGTGTAATAATTTGTTTAAATTTTTTTTAAAAAGTGGATAATTTAAATGTGTTTTGAGTAATTAGTTAAAAATATAACATTATGGCGCAATTAAAAAGACAAAAGTTGAAATTTTCTGCATTACAATAGAGCGAATACTTACTTTCCCAATTGTAGGTTAAGAATTATTCCGCCAAAAGTAAGTATAATGATAATTTTTTGTGTTTTCTGTGTGAAAAATTATTTGTAATAAGTATAGCTTTATTTTTCCTGGAAAAGCAAAAAAATATGCCTTAAGTGTTGTTGTATATAAATGATTTTGATGTGCTGAAAGATTTTAGGCTGTTATCGCTGTGGTGGACGATGGTGAGTTTTCATTCCATATCCAATGCAACATGAATCCTGTGACTAATTTGAATTGGATTGTACCTATCGCCATTAATTTGAAATAGACTCGCTTGTGGACTTGCAATTTGCAAAGTACATTGTTCTAGTTCTCCAAACTAAAAAAGGCAATTTGGTGAGGCTTCTGGGACAAACAACAAATATATTTTCATACCCTACACCATAGTATGGAGGTTATATTAACTTTGTCATTCCGTTTGTAACACCTCGAAACTTACATTTAGACCCCACAAAGTATATATATATTCTTGAGCAGCATAAAATTATATGTCGATTAACCGATGTCCGTCCGTCTGTCCGTCTGTGTAAATCACTCTAGCTTCCGAACGAAATGAAGTAGGCTGAAAAAATTTTACTCAAATGTATATTATGTCTGCAGGACTTTTGGTATTGACAATGGATCATGTCGGCCCACGTTTTGGTGTAGCCCCCATATATAGGGAGGTACCCTATTTTCGGTATTTTGGTGATTTAAGCGACATTATTAACCGGGATTGTTTCAAATTTGGTATTTGAAGTTCGTAATCTTCGAATAGCCCCCATATAGTAGTGATGTTTACTATGGTCTGTGGCAGTAAACTGCGTACGCAGGTCCACGTGTTCGTATACCCCCCATATAACGGTTCATCCCTATATTCGGTATTTTGATGTTTTTGTGACATTATTCACCAGCATTTCATTAGTTTCGTGTTAGAATATTGTAATGGCCTATGACAAAATTTGCCTATGCAGGTCCACGTCTTCGTTTATATTTAACTGTAGCTCCCTATGTTAATTTATTTATTTTTATACCCTCCACCATACTATGGAGGCTATATTAATTGTGTCATAACTCCTCGAAATACTCATGTCAGACCCAACAAAGTATATATATTCTTGATAAGCGTAAAATTCTAAGACGATTTAGCCATTTCCGTATGTCTGTCCGTTTGTCTGTTGTAATAACGCTATCTCTCGAACAAATTGAGATATGCACACATGTATATTTTGCCAGTAGGCAGGTTCAGTTCGTAAATGGGCTATGTAGGTCCGAGTTATCATATAGCCCCCATATAACGGTACCTCCGTTAAATTCAACAAAATACCGATATTCGGTATTTTGTTGAATTTAGCGACATTATTCACCCGAATTGTTTCAAATTTGGCATTTAAAGTTCGTAATGAATACTACAGCCTATTACAGAACATTATCTGTGCAGGTCCACGTCTTCGTATAGCCCACATATAACGGTACCCCCCGATATTCGGTATTTTGATGATTTTAGCGACATTATTTACCGGAATCGTTTCAAATTTGGTATTTGAAGTTCGTAATGGATACTACATCCTAAGTAAAAATGAGCCATGTAGGTCCACGTCTTCATATAGCCACCATATAACGGTACCTCCCGATATTCGGTATTTTGATGATTTTTGCGACATTATTTACCGGGATTGTTTCAAATTTCGCATGTGAAGTTCGTAATGGATACTTCATCCCATGCCAGAAAATTGTCTGGGCGGATCCACGTCTTCGTATAGCCCCCATATAACAGTACCCCCTATATTCGGTACTTTAATGATTTTAGCTACATTATAAACAGATTTTTCTTCAAGTTTCGCATTTAAATATTGTAATAACTTATGACAAAAGTTGCCTATGCAGGTCCACGTCGTCGTATAGGCATTCGGTATTTTTAAGATTTTAACAGAATTTTTATCGGATTTTATTTTTTTTTTTTTTTGGAAATTGCCAAATTTGTACCAAATGGTGGAGGGTATTAAAAGTTCGGACCGGCCGAACTTACAGCTTTTTTACTTGTTTTAATTTCCAAATTCTTTCCAAACGGTGGAGGGTATTGAAATTTCGGTCCGGCCGAACTTATTGTTTTTTTACTTGTTTTTATTAATTTTCAATTTTTTTTTATTATTATTATTTTTTATTATTTTTACTTTACTACACAATTCTAGGGACAGTTGAGAAAATAATAGATTTTGGTTAGCGATTTATGCATATTTTTTTTAATATTCAGGAATATTGAAAAGTAGTTGTGAATTATTGAAAAATAACGACTGTTAAAAAATGTTGTAAAAATATTCGGGTCTTAAAATAACAAATGTCAATTTGTACATCTATGCAATGATTTCTATTTGTTTAAAAAGAGTAGTTTTGTATATGTCTATCATTGCAAATCTTCAGGGTAATTTATATATTAACTAATGTTTGCATGTTTTATTTATTTTCAGGCATAAAATCCACATCTGACAACAGTTATATCCACCATTTCCAGAACAGCAATACTATTTCCATTTTCACACCCATTAAGATTAATGTTCAGTATTTGTCTTTAAGCTCATCTCAAACAATGCGGCCGAACATCAAAATGCTAGCTACCGACATTTCTTAAATAATAGATTATAATGCTAGCAACGCAAGTAGCACCCAGAATGAAGAAAATAAGAAAACACAGAATTATGTACAACATGTTAAATATTTTAAGTGTATTAATAATGAAATATTTCAATATCCATTTCCTGTTGATGCTGTCATGAAAGAAGTACAGCAAAAAATGAGTGGCAAGCATTCAATATCCATTATCATCATTATCGTCATTGTTTGCAACAAGAACAAGATGTCACAATTTCCAAGTGAAGTTGTCGGAAAACGGTTACAGAAAACAATATTGGTTTTGTCACATAATGGATGGAAACGGAAATGAGAACAGCTGGTGTTCTTGATCAACTATCATCACTGATGTCTCCGGTATGGAGAAAACTTAACTTTAAGGTAAGTGTTTAGAAAACAATGTCAATTATTATTATTGTTTATATAATTAATTAATAAAGAATTCCGAGAAAAGTGTTACCTTAGACGGGGAAAGATGACTGGAATTAAAAGTTGAATTTGGTCTTTTATGAGTTAAAAAGTATATTTCGGTTTTGCCGATAGATGTTTGCTCTCAGTATATGTCAGTTTAATAAATTATCTATACATATAAAAAAAGTATTGAAACAACTGACTGACTTAGAATCAAAGGCTAGACTAAACGTCTGAAGCTATAATTTTGCAGGTGGCTCAGTTTTGGCGCGTAGGCGTGTGGATACGAAAAGGATACGAAAAGTACTAAAAATTGAATACTTTTTATTTGCCAAACGTAATGAGCTGGAGTCACTGATAGAGTGCAGCAAGCGCCCGAAAAATACTAAATAGTACTATATTTGGTACAATTTGTTATTGGGTGAACAGATAGAGCATGAAATCTCATACAGGGTGAGATAAAAAACTGCAACACAGTCAAACGCCATAATATTTAATTTTTTTTTAATTTTATTGACTGAAAGCTAAAAATGACGGATATAGCATAAATTTTTAGAATAAGTTTATATATGTTCGAATTAATCAGCACGAGTTATAGCCTCTAAACGGACAATGAAACCGTCACACGTTGCCCGAGTGTTGCCCTGCGGTATTTTGGCCCATTCCCGGCGAGGCGCTTGCTTGAGGTGATCGACACTTTGGTGTTTTTTGGTGCCAACCGTGTCCAACGGATTGATATCCGGAGATTTTGGTGGCCATTTTGCGCTGGAAATGAAGGAAGGGACCTCATTTTGTAACCATTCTTGGGTTGGCGCGTGCTAAGTGCGATGGTCCTGTTGGAATGTCCAAGTACACACTCCAGAATATTTTCGCGATAATATTCGACATTTATTCTGATACCACGGTCGATTAATACCAGTGGAGAGCAACCATCGGCTGTTATGGCGGCCCACACCATCACCATGGCCGGCGCTTGAGTTCTGGTGGCCAACCGAAGGTGCACATTTTCAGCTGACCTCTTTTGCAAGTCAACGTGATCATTTTGTTTCTTTACAAACTGCTGGAAAATTAATGTTTTTTCATCGGAGAAAACCAAATTCAACAGTTCACCACTTTCGGCCAAGCGAAGCTACTCTTTAGCTCTTTCGTGTCTATTTTCTTTCCGTTGCTGTGTAAGTTTTTGCACTTTTTGGAATTTCAATGGCTTTAGCCCGAGCTCATTTTTCAATATTTGCCGAATGGAATATTGCGATATGTTCAGTTTGCGAGCCTTTTTTCGGCCTCTGCGACGCAGGTTTCGATCAAGTTGCTTCTTTACTTTTCGAACCATTTCTGCTGATTTAGCTTTTTTCTTCCGTCGACTTCATTGACGTCGGGCTACGCTATCAGTATCACGGTAACGAGCGATGGTACGAGATACAAAAGATTTATTTCCATTTAAATGCTGGAGTGCTCGAACGATAGCCACTTGTGGTTTTCCAGCCACACACTATCAAAGAAATCACACTACCATGCTTGAGTTCCATCACGAATAACTTTTTTTCTTGAAAATGCTCACCAAAATGCTTTTGTACGCTTGTAAACAATGTAATTAGCTGTCACTGGCATAATTTTGACAGCTGTCGAACGAGTGGCTTTGAAATGACAGCAGTCTGAAATTGGTTACGGTTTTTTTATCT